TCACACTGGGGAGAAACCATATAAATGCATGCAATGTGGACAGAGCTTCACTCACAGCCGTAGCCTCAGTTCCCATCAAAGAACTCACTCAGGGGAGAAACCATATAAATGCATAGAATGTGGAAAGAACTTCAGGCACAGCTGTAGCCTCAGTTCCCATCAAAGAATTCACACAGGGGAGAAACCATATAAATGCATAGAATGTGGATTGAATTTCAGGTTTAATAGTAGCTTAAGTTTACATAAAAAAACTCACACTGGGGAGAAACCATATAAATGCATGGAATGTGGAAAGAGCTTCAGACAGAAAGTTAACCTGAGTTCCCATCAAAGAACTCACACTGGAGAGAAACCATATAAATGCTTGGAATGTGGAAGGAACTTCAGTTTGAGAGTTCACCTGAGTTCTCATCAAAGGACTCACACTGGAGAGAAACCATATAAATGCATGGAATGTGGAAAGAACTTCAGTCAGAAAGTTCACCTGAGTTCCCATCAAAGAACTCATACTGGAGAAAAACCATATAAATGCATGGAATGTGAACTGACATTCTGTCAGAGGAGCACCCTGAATTCACATCAAAGAACTCATACAGGGGAGAAACCATATAAATGCATGGAATGTGGAAAGAGCTTCAGTCAGAGCGGTGCCCTGAGTTCCCATCAAAGAACTCACACTGGAGAGAAACCATATAAATGCATGGAATGTGGGAAGTGCTTCAGTCAGAGCAATGACCTGCGTTCACATCAAAGAACTCACACAGAAGAAAAACATATAAATGCATGGAATGTGGAAAGAGCTTCACTGACGGCAAAGCCTTAAGGTAAAGTTAAAGGTTCTCATTGACAATTGTCCAGTTGTGCCTAACTCTAGGGGGCGGTGCTCATCCCAGTTTCCAAGCCATAGAGCCAACTTTTGTCCGTAGACAGTTTCTCTGGTCATATGTGTTTTTAAAAAAGGAGACTTCGAGACACTGAGATAAATAGTATATATTTTTTTATCTAGTTCTCTTAGGGAAGGGTTAACAGAGATTCCTAAGAAAACAAAGTGCTAAAACAGTATTACAGAACATACCAAAAAAGTAAACAGAGTAAGCAACGGCAGTTCAGGTAACGCCGACAAACAGGCAAACACACAGTTTCTGCCTCGCTCCGTAACTCAGCACCATCAAAGAAGGATGTGAGAGAAGGTAGAGGAGACCTGTGCCTGAATTATAAGCCTAATTGGTTACAGGGAACAGATGAGGTCCATAGGTATTAACCCTTAGTGAAAAGCATATTCAGATTGACATATATCAACACCCCTTCTCAAGATGTAACATGAATGCAATTTTAGTTACATAATCAGGTACAGTGGACCCTTGACTTACAAAGAAGGATGTGAGAGAAGGTAGAGGAGACCTGTGCCTGAATTATAAGCCTAATTGGTTACAGGGAACAGATGAGGTCCATAGGTATTAACCCTTAGTGAAAAGCATATTCAGATTGACATATATCAACACCCCTTCTCAAGATGTAACATGAATGCAATTTTAGTTACATAATCAGGTACAGTGGACCCTTGACTTACATATCCGTAATTCAAAAGGTGTTTTACAGTACCTGTTGCTCTGCCAGGAACTCTATTATGCAAATAAACTGCTAAAAAATGGCCTGTTACGGGATTAATCGGTTTTCAATGCACTGTAGGTCAATGGAGACTTGACTTACAGACTTTTTGACTTGAGAACCACCTTCCAATACGGATTTTCTCAAGTCAAGACCTCACTGTACATCAACCATGGTCAATTCTGGTGGTATTTACATTGAGCATATTTAACATTTCCCAAAGATATATAAATTTCTCTTTCATCAATGGTTTTGTCAAAATATCCGCCTCCATTTTGTTAGTAGGGCAATATTTGATATCAATAAGTCCCTTCTGGTATAAATCCTTCACAAGCTGACATTTTAGTAATATTCTCCACCACCATTAGTACGTAATGCTAGGGGAACGTTGCCAAATCAATTTTTAATTGCAGCTATATAGCATTTGAACTTTTCAAGAGTCTCATCTTTACCTTTTAGTAGATATACATATGTATATTTACTTTTACATTCAGTGAAGGTAAGGAAATATCTATTTTTGCCTGCGGATAATGGCAT